AAAGACTCTAAGAGTGTTATGAATTATTACAATTCATTGAATACATTATGATAACTTTACATTATAAGCTAAAGTATTATACTTAGATTATATAAGTATTATAATCTTAAAAACAGAGTAATATCTGTAATATAATTAAGCAAAAATATTTATTTTTAGTAGATAATTAATACAAAAGGCAAATTAATGTATATAATAATTAAAAACTCTATTTTTAGGGTTCTAATCTTAATAAATATATAGTACTAGTTTGTAATGTGTGTGTTATAGAAGTATAACAGATGTAAATAAAATACAAAGCAAAAGAAAATATTACAAGATCTTTTTAATTACAATTTTTTTAGCTGTCTTGTAACTAATAGTTGCCCCCTTGAAATTGAATTCCTTAAGATAATATTAGTAAAGAAAGACAAGACAAAGGTAAAAAAAACTCACATTATTAACAAAAGGCAGGTGTATAGATCCTACCAATTTCTTCTTCCCAAAACATCTTATTAGAAGGTGTAGGGTATTGTCATTACCTGACTCATGAATACCACCCCTAATAATAATAATAATAATGTTAGTAGTAGAAAAAAGTAAAAAATATAAGAACTTACACAATTTTAGCTGTTTTAATACAGCTATAACAATCTGGGAGTGCTTCCCTAAGCACTCCCAGAATTTTATCAGTACCAGCCTTACAGGACATATGTTTTGCATCCTTCATTTTGTATGTGTCTGGATTGGCCCAAAAAACAGAGGGGGGGCAGGTGTGGAGAGTACTGTGTAAGATAAGAAGTAAGTCTGGAGATCTCAGGTCAAATGCAAGTAAGGGAAGGGACTTACCAAAGGTAATTGTGAATGCAAGTTGTTGGGAGTGTGTGTGTACAACTGTAAAGCAAAAGGAATGCAAGCATGTTATTAAAGTCAACATTGAGCAAATTATTGACAGAGGATTGAGAGTCATTACTGTTTGTTACAGAGCCAAGTCTGAGTGAAAGTGTGTCTGGAGAGTACTGTGTGAGGCTGCAAATGGTACTCAGTGAGTTTATCAAAGTCAACATCAAGCAGATTATTGACAGGGGATTGAGAGTCATTACTGCTCATTACAGAGCCAAGCCTGGGTGAAAGTGTGTCTGGAGAGTGCTGTGAGAGACAACAAAGTAAGCAAGATAACAAAGCAAGAGATACAAGCAGTGTGAACAGCCAGAAGACCTTGATAAAGCTGTTGAGTTATGCTGTACTGCTTACAAACTTTAACCTAATAGCTATCCTTATTGTTCCAAGTCTCTAAACAATCTTGTAAATTCTGTATATGCTTGAATCAGGCAGTAGTAGTGTATTAAAGATTACCAACAGACATATAATGCAGCAAATAGAGTATGGTGACAGTAATGAAAGAATCTGTAAAAACAGTAGTAACACATATAGCACTCTCTATCCTACAAACTGTGAGAAACTGTGTAATAGTGGTGAAGTCAAGGATTGCTCCAAAGAATGCTATAGTTAGTACAAACTGAGCCAAGATGGAGGCATAGATAGCACCTGTTAAAAGAAGATTCATTTTGCTCACTGTAAAAGTTGGTAAGATGGTAACAAGGAATCAGCCTAGTAGAATACTCACAGTACCATATTCAATTAGCAAAAACAGTTGTACAGATGATCAACAGATTGTCATTTGCTACATGTGACCATAAAATTACCTTATATGTAAATAGTGTGTCTAATATTCACTACAGGTCTGTATAACCATCTGATTCACCTTCCTCATTGTTCTGTTCTTCACTTTCAAGATCCTTGTCATTACTATTAGTCTCCTCCTCCTCTTCTGATACTTCACTATCCATCTTGTTATTGTTTTGTTCTTGTAGTGTGTTATGTAGTAGGTAGCTATTTAAATGCCACATACTTTTGTGTCTGATTCCTCCACCTTAATAGTGTATGAACATGTCTCTATCAACAAATCTGTAGTAAATTGGACCAAAAATGACTCAGTATTAATATGTTCCAAATTTGAAAGCCTCAACAACATGCTTACATGTTTACAAAGTAAAATTTGTAATCTTCATTCTTATCTTCAGGTCAGCAAGCAAGGGATGGAGGCAAGAGTGTCTGGACAGTACTCTTAGAGAATTGTAGGATTAGATGAGCACCTTGAAGAATAAGGTCCAGGTTAATGAATCCAAAGGCACTAGGATCTGTATGACAATAGAATTGCAATCAAGGGAGTTGTCTCTCAACAAACAAGCCCTTCTTATTGACTTTCATCCAGTGAACCCAAGCAAAATTGAGCCAATTAAAGTTTTGGAAGTTAGGGTTGGCCCCTGGACCTATATAGCTGACCTCTGTATGAAAAAGTCTGATTATTCGAGTGTAAATGTAGGGATGTTTGGTGTTATCCAATAGTAACATGATATCAGCATACATCTGTGGATTGAGTGAATCTTGGGCTCTCCTGACATTGTAGGTTGTGTAATTGATGTGTAGCACCTTGAGACAGAAAAGCTTGTCATTTTTTATACAGAGGCTGTATAGCTTGTCTATAGTGAAGGCCTTGTCTTCCTGTCTTGAGAGAATGTGTCCAAGCAGGTGCTTACAAAGACTTGGCAGGAAATTCTAGCAAGTGTGTAATGTATCAGTGCTTGTATATGTGAAATAGAAAGAGGAGACCAATAATGTACTCACCTGTAAAGCTGGGTCAGAATCATTATCTGAAAGCTACTAATAAAGATGGATAGAATCCTTTTTTAATACTACCATGTTATAATGGACTTCAAGATCCCTTGGCTTGATAGGATCCCCAGATCCATCATTAAGGCTGATACAAGAATTAATCTCACATATCTTACAGGTCCTACCCTCTAGTTGTGAAACTGCCTTTGTAGCATCTTGCTTGTTTGTCCTAGCATACATGTATTTGAGTCTCCTATGCTGAGACTCCCCCTGTGAAGATACACAATCAAGATAAGCATAGAGAGTGTATTGTAAAGTAGACACTTAACAATTTGTGTACTGTATGAATCAGTTGTACCAAATCAACAAATGGCAGAAGTATATACACTAAGAGAATAAAATTTCAGTGTATTAATGTTGAGTGTTTTAGTTTTCACACTAGATCTGATTGTTTTTGTGTCCAGTCCCTTTACCTTACCCTTATTGAGTAGGGCAGCTTGACAATGTTCTTAAGTAGTAATCTCCTTTGAGAGTTTGTGTGTATTGTAGGCTAAGTATACAGTCTTCTTAAAGCATTGTACCTGGTATCCCAGCAATGTTGTTGTCTCTCCAAGGAACCAAACTGTAGTCTCTGTATGAATGTAGAGCTTTGTAAGTGTATGCTAGGTTGCTAAGATGAATAAAAGGTCAAGGACCACTTTATTATATTTCTTTAGTAGTAAATCCTTGAAGGCCAGTATAGCACACTAGGTAATACACATCCTATTGTAGTGCATATATATTAATAGTCTTGAGGGAGGCACTTACCTGTAGAATATCTTCAAAGTCTCTGGCTGCAATTTTTTTCATTACAGACATATTTCCAGAAAATCACTAGATTGTATCCATTCCAAATGTAGGAGTACAGTAATACCTAAAATATAATGAATATATCTAAATAGATGACAGTAAGGCAATTGATGAGGCTGTAACATAGATGCTTACCTCCTATTAAGCATTGGTATACTCTCTCCTCCCTGTACAAAAAGAATGTACAAGAGGTGGGTAAATATTACTTTCCAGACCCCCAGCTCAAATTTGTGTATAGGGTCTGAGACAAATAAGTCAAAGAAATTGAATCTGTGCTTGCAAAGTACAGAAAAAGTGTTCTATAAAAATAAGATAAGTGAGTAATGAGGAGCATTACCTGGATAGCAACAGTTCACTTACATTAACTAGTATGAGGGATCTGTCCTTAAGGAGATTTTTTATCCAGGTAGATTCTACAGGCTTCCCTAATTGAAAAATCCACTGTTGTACCCTAGAAATCTTCTCTTACTGTACTGTATTATCAATATGTTTGCAAGTTTGTCTTTGTTGATTGGCTCTGGTACCAAGCATATGGTTGAATTTGGTTGGCATAATATCTGTAGGGCTTGAGAATTTGCCTAAAACACACAAGCTAGTAATGAGCATCCTGTAGTAATGTTCAGTTATCCTTGTGTAAATTGAGGTAAAGATTGTAGTGTATGCAAACAAGAAGATAGCAAATAGATACAAGACATACTTCTCAGGGTAGTCTGCTGAGTAAAAAGCAAACCTTAGGAAGAGTCTACATAATTTTCCATCCAAGCAGTTGAATAGAATACCAGAGCTGTATGCCTTAAGAATTTCAGGCTGTAAGAGGATATGGGACAAGACAGCTTGAAATAGTTTGTACTTTAAGTGAGTGAGGAGTTCTGAAGATGCAGATCATTCATAAACCTCATTATATGTATCTTGAACTGATGCTGAGAGCTTTATCAATGTAAATACTGTATGTTAGGACATGTATTACAAAGAAAAGTAGAAATATAGAAGGAATGTACTCACTGAAGGAATATATGCTAGATAATAGCAAGCTGTCTACAAAGATTTACAATGTATGTACTTAGATTAGCCTCCAAAGTAGATGTATATTAGCCAAAGTGATACAGAACTGAAATTTGCAAGATGTATTGAGTCTGAATAGAGAATAAGAGGAAGTACAAAGTTTTCAGCACTGTCTTACATTGGAAAGCTTTGTACTTCTTTGTAGGCTTCCAACCAATAATCCAAGCAATATAGTTCACCATAAATGTGTTCAGGAGGGGAGTCATACTTAAGAAAGAGGAGAGATAATTAAGAGTCAGCAGAAAGTTTGCTATACAGCTCTAATACTATACATACTGTTAGTCTCCAAAGCTCCCTGTAAGGTATATAATGAAAAGGAGGAGAACAAGGGTTGTCTAAGGCTTTGAAGATTGTTGTTAGTAAGGGCTAGTAGTGTATTCCCCTGACTTTGAATTCAGGAGCTCTTTCTTTGCCCCCAGGCCACTTCTTGTTGTCTTTAGGAGGTAGCTTAATCTTAACTAATCCTTTGTGCTAGTCATCAGAATGGGAAGACTTGGGGGAATCATTATTGTAGTGTAGACTGTCAATGTATGAATTCTCCCACCTTGCTCTATAGTCTACTAAGTCTAATAGCTTGAAGTCTGGATGAAGTAAGACTTTGTGTACAAGGACATCCAGCTTGTTATTTGTCTTTTCTTTCACTTCACAATTTGCCCAGCTTGTTAAAAGGTAAGTTACTACATTATTAAACAGTACATATTTATTAGTGATAAGTTTAGAGAGTGAGGATGTTTGAGTCAGAGTATCACCTACAGAAAGTCTAGGTAAGTTGTATAAGTCCTTAAGGTTGAGCATCTTGTCAGGGAAGTTATCTGGCAAATCTGGGTACTCTTGAAGCAACTTGTATTTGTTTGGCTCAGACAAAAAGAGCCTCCTTCTTGTTCCTTACATGATTTCTAGAGTTGCTAGAGTTAGAGAGGGGACTCAAGGTAGTAGAGAAGGAAGCTGAGATAGTATGAACTCAAGAAGGTGTGGAAGAGATACAGTAGGAAGTACAGACAAGTTTGAAGTAGATGGTAGGAGATCTGTAAATCACTTTAGTAGTTGTTTCTTACATTTAGTTCCTTCAGGAAACTTAAGAGGCTCATCAAATAGGGCTGGAACAGTCTGAGTATTATTCTCTACTTTGAATGCCTAGGTCTCAGCTACACAAAATGGTGAGCATTACCTAAGAATCAAGATACTATTACACATACCTAACCTCATTCTCTTTTTCACTTTGTTATTTGACTCTCTAATACATTTTAGAGAGTTCAGACCACTACTTGTATCAACACAATAATTGTAATGGATTGCTTGTACATTCTTCTTCTTAAAGACCTTACTACAAGCCTTACAAACAAAGGAAGACATCTTAAAGAGTTAGAGAAGTACAGTCTAGTCTGACATATGCCTTTGAATGTCTGCTTTACTAGTATCTGACATACAGAGGTTCACAATGAGATAGATTAATATTGGTGATCTTTACTAACTAGGACTGAGATTTAGATACAGTAATATGTACTACCACTGTTAGTACTCCCTCACAGTAGTGTAATTTACAGATATGCTTGCTGTGACAGTATATGTGTCTATACAGCAAACTACAGAAGAATATTGAAGCTCATATTAGCCCTTCTCAATTTACTTCCCTTACTACCTTGTACACAGGTTGTAGCACAAGTCTGAGACTGTACTAGCCTGAGAGTACTCTAGAAAGTAGTAAGAAT